GTCACTAATGACGCGAGTGACCTGCAGAAGCAGATACCACCCCTGATTTACAGATGAGGAAACTAAGCCTAGGAGAAGATAACCAATATGCCTAAGATCTGGGAGGTTGGTTTACCTCTAAATATCACCCGCCTCACCGCCAGTGGTTCTCAAGGGAGGCTGACTGCCTCCTGCTTCCCCACCACCACCACCCTCCGCCTGCCCCCGGGGATTCTGGCTGCTACAATGACTGCGGGACAGAACTGGCATTGAGTGGGCGGGGACCAGGAATTTCAAATGTTCTGTAACACACTGGACAGTTCTCACCTAAGGAAGAACTGTCCTGTCCCACAAGCAACAGCAACCCACGAGAACACTGTGCCGTGATTCTCCCGGAGCTTGAAGGGGGAGAAACCACCCTGAGAGGCCTCACCAATTAATGTTGTCAGCAGGCTAGGGGGGCGGGGGGGGGGGGGGCAGGGATGTCCACTAACACGGGTGTCTAAGTGAACATACGTGAACCTTTTCTTAATTAACAGATTGTAGCTAACATAAGAAGGAACCATTTAAAGAAGACTTTACTAAATACTCACAGATAACGAAAGGGAAACAAATACTGGCTGAAACATGAAACTAAATAAGACAGCTTCTCCCATCCTAGCTCCCCAGCTGGATGCCGGGCACCTCACTAGCAATGACTGCTCAAGAAACTACACCAAGGCTCCCAGAAGTCAAGACCTAGGATGCTAACAGTTCCTTGGTGGGACAAGCTCTGCTTGCCCCCGCTGGTCCCTCCTTCTCCCCTGCCTCCCTGCATGGACTGCACGGCACCAGCAGTGTGCCTGGACCTTCTGGCTCTCAGACGGGTTCAGCCAAGGGGGAGCTCTGGCAGGAGGCCTGAAAGCAGAGCATTTACCTCCCGGGCTCCTTCCATGCAAGGTTCCCCTAGGTTAGATGTATTCCCAACTGGAGGCCACGGCTCACTGAAGCTAACAAACTCTACGTATCTCTCACTCTTTGTGGTAGGCAGGATGATGCCGCCCCCGCCCCCGATATCCATGTCCTAGTCCCTAGAATCTGTGCATATATTACCTTACATGGCAAAAGGAAAGTAAGGGTGCAAATCAAATTAAGGTTAATCACCTCATCTTAAATAGGGGCATTATCCTGGATTATCTGGGTGGGCCCAATGTAATCACAAGAGTACTTAGATGTGGAAAACGGAGGCAGAAGAGGTCAGAGGGATGCCATGCGAGAAGGACTTCACCCACTGCTGCTGGCTGTGAAACTGGAGGAAGGGGCCACAGGCCAAGGAATGCAGGAGACCTCTGGAAGCTGGAAAAGCTGAGAAAACGGATTCTCTCTTAGAGCTTCCAGAAAGGAAAGCAGCCCTGTTGGCACCTTGATTTTGGCCCATCTAACCCATTTCAGACTTCTGACCTCCAGAAGTCTTGTTTTAGGCCACTGACTTTGTGGTAATTAGTTACAGAAGCAATAGGAAACGAATATATTCTTTTCAGGTTCTGGTAACCACTCACCCCCTTTTCTGGCCTAGATCACTGACTCTCCTTGGTGGTTCCTATCCACACCTTTGCAGAGAGCCTCTTCATAAATAAACCATATTCTCCCCCATTTTGACTGTGCCCCTGTTAGAACCCAGAGTAACAGACTTCCCCCTTATCATTCGGCTTTTTCCCACTGAAAGAAAATTAATCCTTTTTCATTCTAAACTCCAAATGGAGCCAAATTCATTAAAACCCAGGACCCCTCTACATTTGTCAGTAACCTATTAATGTATTTCTCTTAACAAACAGCCCACTTTGCTATTGCATGTATCCTTCCCTACCTGAAAGGCCACTAGGGCCAACCGTCAAGACAAGAGTCAGTATCAAGTCAGCTCAAAATGATGACACCTGGCACAAACTTTCAGAATGTAATTTGTAATATTAGGAGAATAAAAGGGTCCTTCTCTCATTCTTACCTATGCATTTTTGTGAAATTACTGAACCAATAGAGTAAGAAAACTCTCTGCTTCATATAATCTGTAGTCTGGGACTTCAGGAACTTTCCGGCTCTATCAGATGTCAGCCTTGGTTAGAAAAATGTTATTTCAGGATAACCCAATTAGACACTGTAAATACCAAGGAGCAAAGTCCTTGGAGCTGTACGTGTAAAAAGCAGCATTACCAACCATGCAAAACGTTTAACTGTTGGGGAGAGAAGGCTGAGTGGTCAGTGGGCAGCAGCAAGGAATATCATGGGGACATGTCCTGACCACAAGGCACCCAGAGTTCTATGCCCAGCTCTCCTAGTCACAGGCTCTGTGCCCTTTGGCAGGTCAATTTTTTCTCTGGATCTCAACATTTCCCCATCGTAATGAAAGGAAATTAGATTACCTTTAATAATCACTCCAGCTCTCATGTGCTATGAGTCTATGAAATACTGAGTTGGAAAGTGCTACAAAACACTAATAAAGAGGTCAGTAACGATTATCATCAGCCTTAGTGATGCTCATTCATTCACTCATTTATTCATTCATTCAATAGTCAGTGAAGGTAACTCTGTGCCAGGTACTATTTCAGGCGCTGGAACTAAAATGATGACCAAGATACCATCCCTACCCTTGAAGAACTTATTGTTTTGAAGAGAAATATATATTAAATTGTTAACACTGCTATATTAGAAGTTTACATATGGTTCAAAGGGGACACAGACAATAGTGTTTGATTCTAATATTCCTGGGAGGGGAAAGAGCAACCATGCTTGATAAATTCTACTTTTTAATAATTATTTACCACTAGCTGGTAGAACAAAGACGGGCACTGATTAACAACAACAACAACAACAAAATAAAACCAGATCATCACAGCCAAAATCGTTAGTTGTGTTATCTTGTCGACAACCTTTACTGATTGCCATGGCTAAGCAAATTATCCAATTATCAGTGGTATATATTAACCATATCGATGGACAAAATAACCCAATCAGGAGTACTTCTCTAGAAACTTCACACAATAACGCCACAGTTGCATACAACAATGAGTTATAAAAGGAATATAAATATAAAAACTGAGTAGTTCTTAAATTAAGCATCACTATCTTGAGTTAAAAAAGGATAGAGGCTTAGAAATTAGCTGATATAATATTTAGTCAAATATTTTGTCTAAATTAAAATAAAAAACTTAAAAATGGTGGCATATAAAAGTTTTTTTTTTTTATTGAAAGATAACTGTAGTCTAGAATTTATTATTAACATTGTCTTTAAAGAAATATATTCACGCTTTGCATCTTTTTTTTTTTTTTTTTTGCGGTATGCAGGCCTCTCACTGCTATGGCCTCTTCCGTTGCGGAGCACAGGCTCCAGACATGCAGGCTCAGCGGCCATGGCTCACGGGCCTAGCTGCGCCGCGGCACGTGGGATCCTCCCGGACCGGGGCACGAACCCGCGTCCCCTGCATTGGCAGGCGGACTCCCAACCACTGTGCCACCAGAGAAGCCCTGCATCTTAAACTGAGACTTAAAAGGTGTCCTCCATATAAGATTTTAAAACAGGTAGTTACTGAGCTTGAAGAATGTACCAGTTGAAATCAGAGCTCCTTTAGTAAGACAGAGTACATTCCGAACATCCTTTCTGTATATCTCACCTGTGCAGACATCAACCTTTATCATCCCCTGCCCTCCTCCACCCTGTGCTCCATTTCAAGACCCAGATCAAACCCCACCTCTTCTTGCCTGAGCACCCAAGCTCCCTAGGAACTCTATAATCAGACAGCACTGACTGTCTGTGCCACCCATTTGGGCCCTCAACATGGAATGACTTTTTTTGTTGCTGGTTTAACCATTCATTTGTATTCCCTCAACCAAATTGAAACTTCCACAGAAGCCAACATCAGATTTCAAAATTTTTTGTATCACAAATATTGTTTTCCTTTTCTAAACTACTTCCAATTTCTTTTGCTCCTCGGATAAAGGCCGAGTATAAAGAAAGAAATAAAGGATCCCCCAATAAGGACCAGAACTGTGTGCTAATTATGGTAGAGTCTTAGTAAAACATTATTAATTGAATGAATGATTTTAAATGTTTCAGTCAAACCATCTATTAAGACTGTGTACTCATCTGAAACAAATCCCAAAGTCTGAGTACAGAAAAGTCAAGCAGAAACAGAGCATCCTTGGGCTCAAACTCACGGTGTGAATCCATCTCCAGGTGGCCCTCAGGAGGACAAAGGCAGTCTTCTTTTGTGAATGGGAGGAAGTGACAATAACTGGGTGTGAAAGCATCATATGCAAGAGCACACATTCAGGAAAATAATCTTGATTCTAAAGTGCAGTCCTTTCTATGAATTAAAGTTGTACACCATTGAGAACTGGTTTATCCAATCTGGATTATTCCCAAACACAGTATCATGGAAGAGGGCTGAAGACAGGTCTAAAAGGCAGGCAGGGACAGGCAGGGATAAGCAGAGCCTTTCAAACATCTCATCATCATTAAGCCCCTTTAAAATAACTCAAGTAGGCTATGGGCACAAATCACAAACCTGGGCCAAAAAGGTAGCTTTGCGATATAAACCTATCCCCAAACTACCAGCTCACAAGCACAAATATCAGCCCTTTTAGACCTCAACAGAGCCAATTTTGCTTAGGGGCAGTCAACAGATAGGAGTTACCGACACCCTGACCTCTTGTCACAGATGCAGTAAGAGAAGCATCAGCATATATACAAAATACAGTCCATGGGGATTGGTCCCACGATCCCCCTTGGATACCAAAATCCAGGTATGCTCAAGTCCCTTATATAAAATGCCATAGTATTTGCATATAACCTACGCACTTCCTCCCGTACACTTTAAATCATCTCTGGATTACTTATAATGCTTAGGCATGTAAATAGTTGTAAATACAAAGTAAATGCTATATAAACAGCTGCCAGTGTGCAGCAAATTCAATTTTTACTTTCTGGAACTTTCTGGGATTTTCTTTTTCTCCAAATATTTTTGATCCATGGTTGGTTGAATCCACAGACACAGAACCTGCGGCTACGGAAGGCCAGCTGTACACCTTTATCTTTGTAAGTATATATCACAGGATAAAGTGTATGAATGTGTGTTACTTAGTAATAGAAATTGTAGCAAATTATATTACTAAACCAATTTAATCTAAGGGCAGTTCTATGGTTATACTTTTCAAAATAACTTCACCAATTTTTGGTGTTCAACGCTGATCATCACCTAGTTTTTCCAACTGCAATAATGCTTTTCAAACAAAAAGTCAACCTTCACTGAAATAGACTAACCTTTATGAATTATGAGTCACAGGATACTTAATGATTCGTAGCATAGTTTGGTTAATAGACTTATTTTAATAAGGAAACAGTTTATTAAGTTTCTTCTTAAATGATGACATTTTCCCAAATTAGCTTTAAACAATTTAACTCTTCAAGAAATATGAATGCTAAATACTAGAAGATAAGCTATATTTATTGACCTAGCCCACATATTTCTTATTATCAACAATATTACTTTCAGCTGTTTCCCCACTGACTGCCTTTGTCCATATTTATTGACAAAATTTTAATTTCTTAATAAACTAATCATGTACATCTTCTACCATTATTTTGATTGGAAAAAACACAAAGAACTGACACTCAGGAGACGAAATTTAGTTGTATAATCTGTAGGACAAGCCTGATGAAACTAAGTCAGATAATTATATTTTCTACTCTTCAACGTTAAGCCATTTTCTTTTAGTGGGAATAATGAGCTCCGACCAAAAGCGCTTCAGGAGAAAACTGGAGGAAGAGTGATAAAACTAACAGGTCATGACTGCGTACCTTTATCACAGCATCCCAGGGCCACGTACAACATTTATAAGAGAAGACTTGTTGTATAGGAACACAATCATTTGGGTCAAGAAGGCTAAATAAGTGTAATCGGATTAAGGAGAATTTTGAATTATTCCCTCTTGGGATAATTTAGTTAGCTAAGTTGGTAAACAACCATATTTGCTACACAGAAATGTAGAGAATTGGACAGGAATTAAATCTTCTTAAATACTACTTTAATGACATCACTGCCTTGCTGAAAAATTCAAAACTGCTCTCAAATGCTTCTAGGATAAAACCCAAACTTCCCTGTGCAGCCTATAAAATGCTCCTTAATTTGGTCACTTCCTATCTATATAATTTTATGAACAACTACCCCTCAACAGGGACGTGACTCACTCTCTTCTGAATGGACTCCAGTGCCCTCTCTATGCCTGAAACCATCCCCTTCCTGAATGCCCTCCCCTCACGCCCCATCACTCAAGGCCTGACACAGGGTCTCCCCGCTTCGCCACTAGGTTCTTCCAACCACTCAAGCCACAGAAAATGCTGAAGATATTTAGAATTTCTAATTAGATAGAGAGATAGATGTGAAATTTTTAGTTTAAGTACCTACATGTATATATAAGAGAGATTTCCTTCTAAGTAGTGCCATGACAGTGGGGACTTTGTCTTTCAGATCTTTGAAACACCCGCAGTAAGAAACACTGCTAGAACAGGATAAATGACTGCTTCCCTTCATCATCCGGTTCTTTTCAATAACTCTTGAAGGTAATATGCTGATATGACAGTTTTTAAGACTAGGATTAAAAAAAATGATCTTCTGGGTCAAGAAGGCTATGGGCTTAATCAGCTAATGGAGAATTTTTAAATAGTTTCCTCTGGGGATGACTTAGTTACGTGATATCGATGAACACATTTGTGACGTATAAATGAGGTTAGAGGAGGCTGTTTAAGAAGCACGTTTGAAACGTCAGATAAAGTCTGATGCCATTTTTAGGTGCCAGCTTTTTCCCCACCAATGGCACATACTTTACCCCAACTGTAACACCTCCAGCTGTGTACTTGAAGTGGGCACATTTTACTGAATGTAAAGTATATCTCCAAGTTAGTTTAAACAAATGTTTAAATCTTTGTTATGATTCTGCCTACAAGATACATCACACAATAGGCTACACATGGTAGCTAAACAACTAAAAATGAGTTGGCGAAAGACAATTCAGCTTCTTCTTTCTTGTGCTAACATTCTGCTTTCTTACGACATACCTCCTGGGTTCCCCAGAAGAGAACTACAGCCTTTCACCCAGCCCTGTACTCTTCCCACATCACAACCGCTGCGCGTTCCCAGTATTAACGCTCAGGAACCAGGGCCGAGTAGCCAGCCCAACAGTCTGCTAATGTGAGACTAAACGTCGAGCTCCGGAAAGTTATTTTCAAAACACTCAAACTGGCTTGAGTTCCTCCCTGCTTCTCTAAAGCACAGAGCTTTTAGTTTTTTATTTTGGGGGGCACTGGAGGGTTGGGGGGAAATCTATTGTGACATCTCAGAGGGGTCTTCGACAGCCGTGGGCTTTTCTGATCCCTTCTAAGGTCTTCTTCAAAGGCAAGGTATTCAAGTGCTGCTTTTTGGTGGCTCCCTCTCTCCACACCCTCACTCTGCTTTGCTCCCAATGTCTTAACTTCATGGTGAACTCCCAGATGGAGTGATAAAGATGTGTCAGTTATCCAAAGCGTGCTATAAAAATATCACTGTCTTCTGATCTATAATAGAACTGTAGAGTTTTACTACCTGAGTGGACAAATGTGAAACCTATGGTTCTTTAATATGAGACCAGCTGCCATTAGAGAAAAAGTACTCCTGTAGGACAACTTGAGATTTTCTAATTACTGGAGCAACACTGAACTTTCCCCAGGGTGTGTGTGTATTTACATAAATGGCTACAGTACAGGCAAGGGGCAAGAGTGGAGACCAAAGTTTTGGACAAAACATTGGTATGCCCTAAATTACTATCTCAAGTATGCTGAATCTAAAGGTTTACTTTATTCCAGGGATAATACAGAATGAGTTTTAATAGTTCCTCCAAATCAAACACTAGGAAGCGTGAGTGTCCAAAATTTCCTGAAGGACAAATGCTATTACTTGTTTGTCAGAAGTCTTATAACTTCCTGCTATATCATGTTTTATTATCTATTATTCAATATTTCTTGAGCATTCACTCAGCACTGAGCTAAGTAATGGAAACTATGTGAAATAAAATGCAGACACATTATGGTTTGGTTGTAAAGTCTGCACTTAAAGTAAAAATTATATACGGTCAAAATTACCTGTGAAAATTCCTAAAATCACTGTCAAGTTACGCTTAAACTACTAGGATCTGAATTTTTGAAAGCCTAAAAGACAAAAGAAAATTTCTTCTGTTTCTTTTAGCATTTCAGCTGTGGCTTTCCCTTTCCTGAGGGAGCACTTCACGTAAGGTGAATTGCCAGCTGCTAAATGTGTATATGATACAGTTTCTGGGTTAAGAAACTATTTCTGACGTTAGTAAACCCACACTACAAATACATATTTCACATGAGGTACAGATTAGAAAGCGCATTTTAACTCCCTTTAGCAAACTGGGTTCTTGACTGCAAACTTGTGTGCCTGGTGTGGAAGAAACGATCTTCCATGTCATAGATGGGGACGATGAAGCCCAGCGAAATGGAGACACACCCAAGGTCGCACACAGAAAGGACTCTCCTGGTCCTGTGCTTTTACAGCACACCAGCCTCTGCATACATACCGTGCTCGGACACGTGAAAGGGGCTCGTGCATACGCAGAAAGCAACACAACACACACCCCCACCCCCGAGGCTGTGCAAACTGACAGCACACTCTCCCAGGCGTAAGGACTAATGCCAAAGGAGAACAGGAATATCCAAGGTGGAATCTGGCAGAAGGAAGATCTGGCTTAGAGGAGGGTGAGAGGATATTCCAGGTCATGAGAATGTTCCCAACAAAGGCACTGGAGGGAGGGAAGAGCAAGTAAATTTGCCTCCCTGGAAGGAAGAACGTCCTGGAAGGTACAATAGAATGAGGTTTTGTATTCCTCCCTTGGGGTCTAACCCTGAGGATGTTACAACACTCCAACATCCCACTTAGCTGAGGCTGGCTGAAGAGCAGAAATGGAATGGCCGTAACAGTGGCGAACAGACGTTTGCCCGTACGATGAAATATCTATCTGTTTTCACATGCAAAGTATAAGAGCTGATACCTACTCGTAGTTGGGTACAAAGAGGAAATAAACCTTGTTATATCTATTACCCTTTCTGAGGCTTGACTTGGCCCCCAAGGGAAGTAAATGCTTATGTATTCTCTAATAGGGCTAATGGCAGAGATGCCTATTTATTTTACGTTTATTTGCAGTGCTCCCGGGAGTTGAAAAATTCCCTCCACCAAAGGAAAGCACATATAGGAATCAAATCACTAAGCTGCTCTTCTTTTACTACAAATAATGCATTTAGGAGTTTGTTGGCAGGTGTCTTCATTTGGCATTTCCTGAGACATAAGAACAAGGAAGGGGTGGGAAGGGCCAGGAGGAGCGAGCCAGGGAAGAAGAAACGATGTCTGGAGGAAGACAATGGAAGGCAGCCACCAACACTGCTTCTGGGCCCAGGGGACGAGACGATACCAAATATCCAAACGTGGCTATGTGCCCCTGCATTAACCAAATTAAGCACAGAAACAAAACATCTCTCTCATTTGTGTTCCGATTTCATGATCAGGGGGTGGTTCACACAAATGCATTTAAAGCCTTCCATCATTTCTTTTCTTAGGTAGAAAAAGGGCCAGGCACTTCACACAGGATATTAGGCTCAGACTTGCCTCAGGTAAATCCATAAAGAAGGTAAAAATGAGTCTGTCTTCACCGTCTCACTTACCCTCTCTGGAACTTTCTACCTATTTCTGGCCTAGGGGTGAACTCTTGGGACAGTGACGCCGGTTCCAACATGCTCTTCCTTCCACTTCCTCCTACTGCCCACCCGATTTCATATCTGTTCCACCTTAACCCACTAGCCCAGGAATCTGCAGATAAAACAGAGGCATTCCCCATGGCACTCAGAGCCCCCTGGACTCTATTTCTACTTATATTCAGGGTGGCCTGGCAAAGCAGGTCATCTAAAGTTTCAAGTTCAGTGTGATTTAGCTGACCTACTGAGATCACTGAAAACCAAATTCTCAGGTTAGGCAAAGGAGAGAAAAAGAGATGACTTCATCATTGCTTCAGACAATGAACACCCCTCAAATTTAAAAAAGGTCAGCCAGTTACCCTACATCCCAGACCTACTTCCACTTGTGTTAGAAATTAAATGCTCTACACAGCCTACGTGAATCTCTCCAGTCAAAGGGTGAGGGGTTACATTAGCTCACATCTTTGCAGTTAGAATAGTAAACATAATTTAACTTTTTACCAGGCTCAACAACAATCATCTGTGCTAACTACCCCCCCAAAGAAGGTAGGAGCCACCAGTCAGGCCGACAAGCTACTAGGCTGAGAGCCTGAGTATTCACTACAGCCTGGTCCATCTCCCCACCTGCTGATTACTTCATGGATTTGCTTCCCGCAAATATATCTCCATGGAGCTCTCTGGAGACGCCTTGGAAGATGTCCACTTTCATAGATCGGAGCCAATTTTGATGCCAATAAAGAGCCTCAGAAGCTGAGCTCATAAACCGGTCACCCCTTTCCTGGTAACTAGAAGGAGAATCACGGAAGCCGCAATGCTGAAGGCATCGCTTCACACTTCAGTCATGCAAACGGTGGGAAGCTCTCAAGGTGAGTGTCATAACATGAAGGCCATGCTCCAGAGCAGCGTTCAGGGAAGCCAAATAAACTAAGAACCTTAACCCCAATCTCCCCACCCTCTGTCCACACCGCGGTCACACTGACTTAACTCACCATTTATTTTTTCAGGGGGGGTGGGGAGTTTGGCTGAAAAGGGGGAGACAGTGAAGAGAGAGACCTACACACAGTGAGGTGCATGATAGGCAGAGTTTCCCCAAATCCAGTCACCCTCATATTCCACCATACAATCTTCTGCTATATCTGCATACCACCAGGATTATTTAGTCATATTTTTAAAAGACAGTTTATACCATAGCTAAAATTGAAAAACAAATATCACATTCTGTACACCCCTCCCTATACAAAGTATAATTATTGACTTTTTTAAAATATTGTCAAAGAGAATGGGCACAGAATCCGGGAGGGCAGTGGTGTGCGAGCACGGGCACAGATGGCCGAGTCTGGTCTCCTCCCTGAAGGAGAGGCAAATCCCAGGACGGGGCAGAGCACATGCCCAAAGGGGCAGCGATGTGACCTACTGACGGAGGAAGAGGGCTTTCAGACAGGCCTGGGTGACACTCTGAGCACCAACCACAGGACTATCTAGGTGAGTTAGGCGAGTTACTTCATCACCCTATCCCACAGAAGGGCCACAAACCTCCTTTTCACAGCGATTGTAGAAAGCAAATAAAACAACGTACTAGCACTTAGCACCCTGCTCAGTACAAGGCATCTATTACAGTTGCTGCTGCTGCTGCTTTACCTCTAAAAGGAGGAAAAGCAAACACAGCTCCTGGACAGGACTGCCCTAAACCCATTGTTTTTAGCTCATGTTTATGAAGGGATTGGCTTACTTGGTGCCAGGCATTATGCTAAGCACTGGACATTAATGCTCATTTGATCCTTATCTCTTTGGAGCCTCCCAATAACCCTATTAGGTAACTGTTATTAGTATCCCTATTTTACAGAAGAAAAAAGTGGGACTTGCCCCAGGTCATCCGGTAATAAATCAGTGAGCTGGCTTCCACTCTGGTCTCTGTGAAAGCAAATAAAAACTGTGCAGAGCTGCAGGAGCATGAACTCTGCTACAGCACTGCCCTCCGCTTGACTTTCCTTACCTCTTCACCACACAGTGTAGCCTTAAAGGGCCAAAATTCTCCACACAGAGTAACTGGGGAAAAATCAGTTCAAATACATTTTCATGTCTATTATATTATAAATTAAATGTAATAAATCCTTTCAACTAAATGTATTTGCAATAAACCTGCCAAAAAACCCACACTTGGAAACACTTGAGATGAACCATTTTTAATACTGACATCCCAAGAATGATGAGAAAGTCCTATGAATGAATGTGTAGCTGTAATTACCCTGTAACATTTTTCTCTAATAATGCCTCTACTGCTTGTCTTGCAGACCAACCCTCTCCAAAGCGTATTGTGGTAGCTCTTCAAATATTCTGTACTCTCGTATAATTTGTTTATATTCCCTATTCCATTTCACAGAGACTGTCATTATGAAGGTTATTATTATTATAGATTTTTCACGCGATCTGAATACCAACTGCAATGGCCTCAGTAACAGAGTTCCCTCGACATCCGTTGCAAGCATGAGACCCACAACCCATCAGATGTTTTCAAGGGACACTTGAAATCTGCTCAAGTTTAAGGGAAGCCGAACTGATAGCTAACAAATTGATACATTTTCAAGCACAGATTCTGTACATTTCTTGAGAGACTGCTGTATCATTTTTCAAACTGGGGACTCTGCCAGGTGGGAAGAAACACAAGTGGGTGGTAAATGTGCTTCCTCCTCAGGTTAAGCTTGTTATTTGAGGAAAGGCGTGATACAATTAAAGTATCCTGCTTTGATTAAAAATTTTCACATGAAACTATTATGATCCCATTTTCTACTAGTATGATCTAATTTTCTATCCAACAGGAATAACACATCGTCATTGAGTCAGGGCAGGCGAAAATGGGCTTAAACTGCCCTGCAAACAACACTGCCCCCTCTGCCACGCCCACTTTTCTTTGTCATCCTATCACTGTTGTGGCCTCTCCCGCCGCAGCGCACAGGCTTCGGACGCGCAGGCCCAGCGGCCATGGCTCACGGGCCTAGCCGCTCTGCGGCATGTGGGATCTTCCCGGACCGCGACACGAACCCGTGTCCCCTGCATCGGCAGGCGGACTCTCAACCACTGCACCACCAGGGAAGCCCTGAGGTTCAAGTTCGATTAGCTCTGGTAAGTGTGTCATCCCCGCCCCCGCCCCTCCAATGCGTTTTCAGTCCATTCTACTAACTAAAACTTACTTCTTTTTTTTTTTGGCCGTACAACGCAGCATGTGGGATCTTAGTTCCCGGACCAGGGATGGAACCTGCGGTCCCTGCTGTGGAAGCACGGAGTCTTAACCACTGGACCACCAGGGAAGTCCCTAAAGCTTACTTTTTATCTCTCTCCCACACACCAATTGCTTCCACATTTGACCTGGTCACCACACTTTGAATGACCATGCCCCTCTTTCCCACGAGCCCCAGTGCTCCATGAGGACAGAAGCAGGGAGTCTCATTCTCCCCTTGAACCCCAGCACCTAGCACAGTTTTTAGAACTTGGTGTGATGATCAATAAATATTTGTTGAATGAATGACTGCTTTTGTTTAGCTCTACCTTGACTGCCAGTAGTACCCAGGAGTATTAGATGGATAAAGTTCTGGCTCTCTGGTAGGAATCATGCAAAGCAGTAAAGGAAAAAAAACTTTTTTTAAGAAACCCTTCCAAGTACAAAAATACTACAGTCCAACTCAAAATTTTTATATTCAGTCTAGAAATAATGGCCAGGGTAACGGCAGAAAGAGAAGATTGGAAAACTATGTGCTTCAAATTCAGAATGGCTGAGGTCTAGATGCCACCCTTGTGTCTTACAGGCTATGTGACTCGGGCAACTTAATTTTCATGGGCTGGCTTCTTTGTCTCTAAAACGGGGCTCATAACATCTCCTACATGTGTATGGGGCATTTAAAGGTGTTGCATATAAGACACAAACACACTTCCTCGGCCATAAAATGCACCAAATATGTTGGCTTTCTTGTGTTTCCCTGGGTCACTTTTCAATCGCTAATCATCTGATTTAAAGAAAACATGATATAATTCAAAAAGAGTCATGTATCACAACGTTCACTGCAGCTCTATTTACAATAGCCAGGACATGGAAGCACCCTAAGTGTCCACTGACAGATGAATGGATAAAGAAGATGTGGCACATATATACAATGGAATATTACTCAGCCATAAAAAGAAACGAAATTGAGTTATTGGTAGTGAGGTGGATGGACACAGAGTCTGTCACACAGAGTGAAGTAAGTCAGAAAGAGAAAACACATACTGTATGCTAACACGTATATATGGAATCTAAAAAAAAGGTTCTGATGAACCTAGGGGCAGATGCAGATGTAGAGAATGGACTTGAGGACACGGGGAGGGGGAAGGGTAAGCTGGGACAAAGTGAGAGAGTGGCATGGACATATACACACTACCAAATGTAAAAGAGACAGCTAGTGGGAAGCAGCCGCATAGCACAGGGAGATCAGCTCGGTGCTTTGTGACCACCTAGAGGGGTGGGATAGGGAGGGTGGGAGGGAGATGCAAGAGGGAGGGGATATGGGGATATATGTATACGTATAGCTGACTCACTTTGTTATACAGCAGAAACTAACACACCATTGTAAAGCAATTATACTCCAACAAAGATGTTTTAAAAAAAAAGAAAACACGATAAACACCTTCCTAGAGGGAAAAAAAAGGGGGTAGAGTGGGGTATAAAAATTAAAGTCTATCACGGTGTTATTAAGCTAATATTTTTTTGTTTCTTTTTTTGCGGTACATGGGCCTCTCACTGTTGTGGCCTCTCCCGTTGCGGAGCACAGGCTCCGGATGCGCAGGCTCAGAGGCCATGGCTCACGGGCCCAGCCGCTCCACAGCATGTGGGATCTTCCCGAACCGGGGCACGAACCCGCGTCCCCTGCATCGGCAGGCGGAGACTCTCAACCACTGCGCCACCAGGGAAGCCCAAGCTAAATATTTTGAGATAGAAATTTTAAAGTTTATAAGGGATTTTGAGTAACACTTTAAGATGAACAAAATGATGAGTCTGAAAAGTAATGACAAAGAGCATGTGAAAAATCTGGAAAAGATACAGGAACAGACTGAAGCTTTAACTGTAATTCTCAAATGCCTATTTTTCTTTTTTCTGTGGCAAGTCATTCTTAAATTATTCTTCCTAGAGACTGACTGCTCTTGTTGAACATATGCCTTTGAGTAATATCTGTCCAGACTTATTACAAGGGCAAATTCTAGCTGTGATGATTTTCTTGATAACCAACCACTCAATATCTAATAAATATTATACATAATGGTTTTACTGATTAAAAAACATATTCTTGCAAAGTAACCACTTGAGGGGCAGGATTTATAGAGTGAGATTCAATAGAAAGATTTGGGTTGTGTCTACAAACAAATCAGACCAGGTCAGAAAAATCTCATTCAGTCAGTTCACTGAGGTTGAACTTAATTCTACCCCTTGGGTTCTGCTGTGTGGCTGGGCTTGAAAATTCCCGGTTAGATGAATTTTACCAGCTTCATCTAGCTTCATCTAGCTTTCATGATGTACGCAGTACATTTTCCTTCAAGGAAAATACAGAGTTCAGTAATTCGTTTAGTGTCCAAGTGTGCCACACAGCACATTAACGAGTAGAAACTGATTATCAGCTCAAGGAAAGGTGAGAGGAAATTATCTCATAATTGACGTTATTTAGAAATGTATTTATCAATCAGTCCTTCTAATGAACAAGGAAGCTTGACAGAAACACACTGGCCCTGGGAGAGACCCACTGTGGGAGGGAGTGCAGCTCTGTGAATCAGGCTCACAGCAACTCAGCGGCGAGTTCATGCCAGCTTGGGAACAAGTCCTGCAACTGCCTGTGCCTCGGTTTCCCCCACTGTAAAATGGGAGCAAGCTGAGAAACATGTCCTGGCTGATCCTTTAGGATTTAGGGATTCATAATCACTCGTATACTTCCACTGAACTCCAAACGGGATTATTTATACCTTTTCTCATGTAGTTTAGATATTACCAATAAGCCTAGATATTTCACTAGACCGTATTTTCATTTTAGACAGCCTACTTCATGAATTTCATGGCATCCTAAATTGTATTTAGCTCGCTGTGAAAAAGAATTCTTATTCATTGTAGAGAGTTTTTGGTTCCTTCTGAGACCAATTCCTTTTCCGTTCGTCTACCCCAGCTGACCCAGGTATACATTGAGTGTGTTTTGCACTTTTCACTACATAAAAAGGATATGCTTCCCAGGGTCTGCCCCAGCATGACAGGCCTGGCAGCGAAGACGGTGCTCCGGATGACCATAAACAAGGCAGCAACTGGGGCTGGATACATTCTGGGTTGGTGTGCCTGGGTGTGCAACAACTCTTCAAGTCCTTGCCGTCCTGGACCACGGCATGCTCCATCCCGCCCATCCTGCAAATTTCTTGGCCCAAACGTCAGCGTCTCACTGAGGCCAACAACCTCCTTCATTATGTACAACCTTGTCCCATCCCCCTTGTACTGCTATCTATTTTGTTCTTGTGACATTGATCATCTTCTAACGCACTATATAAATTATTGCATACCACCTCCCCCATTGTAGGCTTCCATGTCAGCTGCACAGGTACAGGAGCTGCTCACTGGTTTGCTCCAAGCACCCAGAATACTGCAAGGCATGTAGAAGGGGCTCAAAAATCTCTTTGGTGAATAAATGAATGGTGACCTCTTGGCTAATTATTTTTTAACAGATGGAAATAGGTGGCTGACCTTGTCAGTCACAACCTGTTTTCTGCCCAATCATTGTCTTTCATGGAGTTTTATGGACACCAATCAAGGGTGTATAGAGGACTCCTACTCTAAGTGCTGCTGACTCGATCAACTACCGAGAATGATTTTAAATGATGTTATGAATCTAGTGCCATGTCTTCACACGGTTTTGTGAAAAACGGACCCTGCTACCACAGGAGTCCATTGGAAGCTCTTTTCCCTTTCCCCTGATGATACACAGAATAGAGAAGTAATACGGAATATGGGAGAGGAAAAATCCTGTTCCAGATCTTGTATTTAGTTGCTCGAAATTGAACCCAGAATCCCAGAAAAATAAGCCATCCTGGAGGGTGATGTAGCAAAAGCTTGGGACCTAGCAAATAACACTTCCAGGAATTTATCTAAAACTTGCAATCAAGCAAGTGTAAAAGGGTTTCAAGAATTTCACTGTGGCACTGCTTATATTAGTGAACAACCAGAACGGTCTACACACCCAACAATCTGAGTTGATTATGCAAGCTATTTATAAGCCATACAATGGGAACCTGCACAGTCACTAATACAGGGCTAGAAAAGATGGTCAAATGACGTGGAAAGGCATTCACAATGAGGTTCAAGAAAATGATGGGCTGAGAGCCAATTTTTGGTAAGAGA